TTCAATAGAAATTGCGAGAGGGCTAGAGACCGAAAGACACAAAAATGGAATCAATACAGGAAGAGGCCGAACCCCCAAACATACCAGCGATACAAAGATGCGAGAAACAACTACACGGCAGTGAGGAGAGAGGCAGAAAGAAATTTTGAAAAAGGGATTGCGGACAAATGTAAAACAGAACCAGGTCTATTCTATAAATTCATAAACAACAAATTGCAGGTAAAGGATAATATTCAGAGGTTGAAAATGGGAAATAGATTCACGGAAGATGAAAAGGAAATGTGTGAAACACTAAACGAAAAGTTCCAAAGTGTGTTTGTACAAAATGAAATCTTTAGGGAACCAGATACAATAAGAATTCCAGAGAACAACATAGAACACATAGAGGTGTCTAGAGACGAAGTGGAAAAAATGCTCAAGGAGCTCGGTAAGAACAAAGCAGCTGGCCCAGATGGCGTTTCACCATGGGTTCTGAGAGAATGTGCATCTGAGCTCAGCATTCCACTTCACCTGATCTTTCAGGCATCCCTGTGTACAGGAATCGTAGCAGACGGGTGGAAACAGGCTAACATAGTTCCAATCTACAAAAGTGGCAGCAGGGAAGACCCCCTCAATTATAGACCTGTATCATTGACAAGTGTAATAGTGAAAGTATTGGAAAAACTAATCAAAACTAAATGGGTAGAACACCTAGAGAGAAATGATATAATATCAGACAGACAGTATGGTTTTCGATCTGGAAGATCCTGTGTATCGAATTTACTCAGTTTCTATGATCGAGCCACAGAGATATTACAGGAAAGAGATGGTTGGGTTGACTGCATCTATCTGGACCTAAAAAAGGCTTTCGACAGAGTTCCACATAAGAGGTTGTTCTGGAAACTGGAAAATATTGGAGGGGTGACAGGTAAGCTTCTATCATGGATGAAAAATTTTCTGACTGATAGAAAAATGAGGGCAGTAATCAGAGGCAATGTATCAGAATGGAGAAATGTCACAAGTGGAGTACCACAGGGTTCAGTTCTTGCACCAGTGATGTTTATTGTGTACATAAATGATCTACCAGTTGGTATACAGAATTATATGAACATGTTTGCTGATGATGCTAAGATAATAGGAAGGATAAGAAATTTAGATGACTGTCATGCCCTTCAAAAAGACCTGGACAAAATAAGTATATGGAGCACCACTTGGCAAATGGAATTTAATGTTAATAAATGTCATGTTATGGAATGTGGAATAGGAGAACATAGACCCCACACAACCTATATATTATGTGAGAAATCTTTAAAGAATTCTGATAAAGAAAGAGATCTAGGAGTGGTTCTAGATAGAAAACTATCACCTGAGGACCACATAAAGAATATTGTGCAAGGAGCCTATGCTATGCTTTCTAACTTCAGAATTGCATTTAAATACATGGATGGCGATATACTAAAGAAATTGTTCATGACTTTTGTTAGGCCAAAGCTAGAATATGCAGCTGTTGTGTGGTGCCCATATCTTAAGAAGCACATCAACAAACTGGAAAAGGTGCAAAGACATGCTACTAAGTGGCTCCCAGAACTGAAGGGCAAGAGCTACGAGGAGAGGTTAGAAGCATTAAATATGCCAAAACTAGAAGACAGAAGAAAAAGAGGTGATATGATCACTACATACAAAATAGTAACAGGAATTGACAAAATCGACAGGGAAGACTTCCTGAGACCTGGAACTTCAAGAACAAGAGGTCATAGATTTAAACTAGCTAAACACAGATGCCGAAGAAATATAAGAAAATTCACCTTCGCAAATAGAGTGGTAGACGGTTGGAACAAGTTAAGTGAGAAGGTGGTGGAGGCCAAGACCGTCAGTAGTTTCAAAGCGTTATATGACAAAGAGTGCTGGGAAGACGGGACACCACGAGCGTAGCTCTCATCCTGTAACTACACTTAGGTAATTACACTTAGGTAATTACACACACACACACACACACACACATCTGCCTTGAAAGTAAAATACAATACAATGCTGGGTACTTTAGTTTATGCAAATATACTCGTAGCACACATTAGTGCTTATAAACTTTATATGTTTCTTTTTGTAGTTCTACCTTTGTTTATGTTTGTAGATTTTTAATGGGTCTGTCAGAAATTACATTGACTTTATAAAATTGTTAAATTGTAAAAAGTGGAAGAAATTTTTAATAATTGGAATATTAATTTATAATTTTTAAATTTGATTAAATGTGATTTGTTTATTCCGTATGCCTTTTTTTCAGACACTTGGTAGCTACCACTTTCATATTGATGCATGCATGAACACTTCTCCATACTAATGTGCTCGCACACTTCATACTAATGTACTCACACCTGCATACTAATGCGCTCGCACACTTCATACTAATTTGCTCACACATCTCCATGCTAATGTATTTTCATGCACGCCTGTTATGCCTGTGCACAACAAGCATAACTTTCACTTCTTTAGTTTTACACATGCTTACAATTTCCATAACTCTTCATTCGGTCTTTCATGTTGCATTACTCTAACATATTCTGTGCATGTAGCAACATTGCAGAATTCTGTTTTCTTAGTGAAACACCTTTCAACATTCTCCATAGGCACACAGTCTTTTTCCATCTAGTAGGCGTCCATCAGTCCCGGGAGACTATGGAGTTGCGCTCTGGTTGTCGGTCTGGAGTGGCCTCTCCAGGGCGCAAAGCCAGAGGTAGATTAATACGGAGGAGAAGCTATTACCTAAGCCTACCTAAGTAGGTCCTTCCTCTCCACGGCACCGAAAGTCTCCAATGGAAAGGCAAACGCCAACACGATTGGTTCCAGCACCGTCACAAACATTTTTTGGCGATGCCAGAGTGACTACGGCAAGGGTTACGTCCATGAGGATGGCCACAGTAGATTGTGTGCGATCTATTTTTTCCTATTCCACATTCCATACCATGGCATTTAATCTCAATGAATTCCATTGGTCACACGGTGATCAAAGCAAGTAAGAGTGATAGTGAGCAAGTGACCAAACATTCATGAATGTATATTTATGGAGGAGAGATGAATTGTGAAACTGCAAAAAAAGGTATTTAAAACCTTTAAAAATCTACTTAATGTATAAAGGTTTTAAATCCTTTTTTTGTAGTTTCACAATTCATCTCTGTTTCATAAATGTACATTCATGAATGTTTGATCACTTGCTCACTATCACTCTTATTTGCTTTGAGCACTGTGTGACCAATGGAATTCAATGAGATTAAATGCCATGGCATGGAATGTGGAATAGGGAATAATAGATCGCACACAACCTACAAATTATGTGGAAAGGCCTTAAAGAACTAACAAAGAAAGAGATCTAGGAGTGGTTCTGGATAGTAGACAGTCACCAGAGGAACACATTAAAGGACATTATGTAGGAGCATATGCTGCACTATCCAACTGAAGAATTGCTTTTAATTACATGGATGGTGAAATACTAAAGAACTATTCATGACTTGAGACCAAAATTGGAATATGCAGCAGTTGTATGGTGCCCATATCTCAAAGAGCACATCAATAAACTGTACAAGGGGGCAAAGGCGTGCTACAGTATGGTTTCCAAAACTGATAAACGAGTTACAAAGAGGCTAGAAGCTTTAAATATGCCAAAACTAGAAAACAGAAGAAAAAAAAGTGTTATGATCACCACTTACAAAATACTAACAGGAATCTACCAAATTGACAGGAATTCCAAAAACCAGCAACTTCAAGAACAAGAGGGCACAGATTCAAGCTAAGGAAATAAAGATGCCCAAAAAATATTAGAAAGTTTTCTTTTGCAAATAGTGGTAGACAGTTGGAACAAGTTAAGTGAGAAGGTGGTGGAGGCCAAAATTGTCAGTAGTTTCAAAGTGTTGTACAACAGAGTACTGTGAAGACGGGACACCACGAGCATAGCTCTCATCCTGTAATTACCTAGGTAATTACACACCATTTATTGATGGGGTCAAACTAACTGGCACAATTGTATTAAAATAAATTAACAGCAGAACAGCATAGTTTTGCTCTAATTACAAATAAATAAGGACAATTTGTTAATCCCATGCAGTCTCGCTCCAAGCTGGTAAACCGAGCAGAGAATTGTAAAAATTGCAGAAAATGAACAAATACCCAGAAGCATAGCACAATTCCTGTCTTGTGTTTACATCTAACAATCCATGGTACTCTTGTATCTCCCATGCTGACACTCCTCCAGTTCCTGCATATCATCATAAAATCTTCATGGATGCAGTGTCAGTACCTTACTGCATTTAATTTGATTAGGGATTGTGAACCTTTTTGACACCCTCTAACTTGCATATCTCTGTTCTTACCCCTCTTCTCATTTGTACCTTCTCATCTTGTAATACAGTATAGTACTTAAAATGTGCTCGCACACTTCACACTAATGTGCAAGCACGTTGTTAACCAATTAGAAATGCCTTTTTTCAGTATTTCTCTTTTGCACATTTTTCATCTTGATAACTCATTAATCTATTTCATATTCCATGTATTCCATAGATTTTCAACTCTGTATCCAAAAGATTACCTGATACACATTATTTTGCAATATCCTACCCATCATTACAAGTCTTATATTTTTTTATGAAAATACAGTATTTAGACTTGCAGCGGACTTTGTCACAACTGTTCACTCTTACCCAAAATTAGTTAACTTGTACCAAAATTTCTTTCTAGACATACAACCATCTCCTCAGCTGCTTATCTTATAGTTGCTGGAGTTCATCTTTGTGCAATATGTTCAGTTTTAGGGTGTTCTAAGGCTGCTTGTATATGAATCATTGTTCTAAGTTGCAATAATTGTTTACTTATATTTAGAATTTTCTAATGAATCTTCAAAATTAATTAATACCATTAAAAAAATACAATTAGTACAATTATCTTAATTTTTTACTTTTATTTTACTATGGGAGGGTTGGTCACTATTCCTCTTCTCTTGCTCACTTGGAGCTTGCACACTTTTTTTTCCTTAGGTTTAAAGAGAAGCGGGGATTTTGGTTCTCAAGCATCATTAGGTAAGTGTTATGTGTGCCCGCCACTACACTTGCATGCTTTTTATCTTGTGCTTGCTCTTGCTTAATCTGTGTGTGCTTGTAGTATTTCTGTAGGATATGCCATAGAGTTCTTAAGGTACATACAGTATCATTGTTTGCAGGATGAAAATGTTAATCATTAAAGTAAGTGTCACTGTGGATTTATAATTTGTGCCAAGTACAGTATTTTTTAGATGTAGACATCTATTATGTATGCCGAATGGCAATTGCATTGTGTGTGTGTTTTTAATCTTGCATTTCCACTGCAGTTGTATGTAAGCTCTTCATTGCATGCCTGTAATGACAGTAAACAAGTTCTCAAATGTGCTGCTTGACAAAAAAATGTGATAACTTTTGTGATATGGGATGCAAGCTCATTTTTACTCTAAGAACATTTTGATGTTGCTGTACTAATCCATAACATTTGTTATAAATGAGTTTATCTTGGGTTATATCTATGATTTTTAGGTTTGGAGGATTGGGAACCTTGACTAATTAATCTTAAAATTAAAATTACTTTGAATTTTGATTAAAATGTTGGGTAAGCTATAAACTGATGTAAAAACCTTGATTTGTTTTTCTGCTAATAAGTAATTTAGTACCGGGAGATGTATTAAGAGGGTGTGTTTTCATTTAGTGTTATTGTAATGTTGAAACATAAATATTTGTAGATTTACTTTGTATGTGGTAATAATATTTGTAATAATTTGTTGGTACAATTTTTGTGAGTTGATACTTGGTGCATTCTCAAAACCCTTATACTTCATACATCTTTTAATATTTTCAGTAAATCTCTTTCATATATTTTGTTCATATTCGGGTAAATTTGTCCACTGTCACATAACAAATAATTTTTTTTTCTTTTTTTACATCCTAGCTATCTGATCAACGATTCGTTTTGTGATGATTCTAAGCATGAAAAGTTAACTTATGATAGTTAATAGCCTTTAGCTATTATGATAGCCTTTTCATAACATAATGAAGTATTATTGTCACTTACTAGGTATCTCAGTTAGGGTGATATCTTACTGTTTTCAGTTTTTCAGTTTGATATTAGAGTATGCCTTTACTTATTAGCATGAATTTCCAAGAATTACATTCGGTGGTAAATGGAAACCCCATTTTTGTAATGGGGCCATGAAGCCCTTTTGTTAGGTTTTTGAATCATTTTAACTTATTGATTGGGGGACCGTTGAGTGATATCACCAAAACCAGCAAGTGTAGCTGTGCACAAATTTTCAGACATGCATTGATGCCAGGCGATATGCTTGCTTTTCTGATTAAATTGCTACCCTGGGAAGCTTTGAACTAGAATAATTAGCTAGTTTCTTATATTTTAAGAATGGTTAAAGGTGATAGATTCAGTCTTGGAATTTTCTTTGAATTCTTCCATATCCTGTCATTTTTGTTGTCAACCCTGACTCTTTTGCAAATATTTAATATGTGCATTATGTTCTCATAATCTTTTGGTTAATTTTGTTAATCTAAAGTAGATTATTTCATAATCTATTATGATTATCAACATAATCCCCTATATTCCTTGCCAACACCCCCTTGTGCTTCTTGCAAACCCTCCTTGTGCTTCTTGCAACCCCCCCCCCCCCCCCTTGTGCTCCTTGCAACCCCCCCCCCTTGTGCTCCTTGCAATTCTCCTCCCCCTTGTGTTCCTTGCAAACTCCCCTTGTGCTCCTTCCACCCCCCTGTTCTCCTTCCCCCCCAACCCACCCCTTCTGTGCTCTTTGCAATGTAACGTATCGGGAAATGAATAGAAAGAAATTAATAAATAAAATAATGAGTGAGGGTTTGGGGTGAGGGAGGTAGAGAGGTGGGAGGAGTAAGGAGTGGAGTTTGGGAGTAGCGAGGAGTGGTCAATTGAAAGGGAAAGGTTGAAGAGTGTCAGAGGGAGAGGAAAGAGAGTAGGAAGTAGAAGTAGAGGGTAGAAAATAGATGTAGAGAGAGTAGAAGTAGAGGTAGAAAGGGGCTGCCATCATCCATTCTAACTCGGTACATCCAAGACAAGGAATGGAACTTGTCTGTACTTTAAGCTGTTTTTAAATGTTAACATATATCATCTGCTGCTGTTAGCGTGTACTCATACTTCGTAAGTCAGTGAACACCACACAGGAGTGTGGAGTGCTCCCCACACTAGCTTGCAATATATCAGAAAATCCAAGATCTAGGGAACACAATTAAAGTCAGATTAAAAAGTATGTTAATCAAGTATATTTAACATAAGTATCATAATTCAAGCAATTTAACTTTAATGTTCACTCTGTCAGGATTACTATACAATGTGAGTCATTACACAAGACATTGAGGACACTACATCTGTCTGCCCCTAATAATCAAACAACACCTTAAGTTTGGAAAACACGAAATATGGCACCTTAACGTTCAACTCGCCTAGGACTGAGACTAGGGTGGGTAGAGGAAGGGAGGTACATTTGACAGGCAGTCCTCCTCCTGACCTGGGGAGGCCAGACTGCTCTGTTCCCTGCTGATGCTCTGCTGTCTGCTGGTGCTCTGCTCTATTCTCTCGAATGTACAGTTCCCTGAATATTTATGGGAAATACTTGGAGCTAGCTCTGCCTACTAAGTAGATAGCCTCAGGCTATCTATCTACCACGCCTTACAAAGCAGCTTGTTTGAAAGATACACCCGGCTACCTGGCTACAATTATCAGCTTAGCAGAAGCAAGGTCAAGTCACATGACCTGACCCCTGGTCCACTTGTGGTCATTAACTCCTCTAGGTGTGACTTCCTAATTACTAGGGCAAGACAACTTGGTGCCTTTCAAGTCCTGTCTTGTCTGACTCGTGTACTATGTAAAATATTAAATAAAACCCAACTAAACACCTTTATGGTGTTACAGCAACCCCCCCCCCCCCTGTGCTTCCTTGCAACCCCTCCCCCCCTGTGCTTCCTTGCAACCCCTCCCCCCCTGTGCTTCCTTGCAACCCCTCCCCCCCTGTGCTCCTTGCAACCCCTCCCCCCCTGTGCTCCTTGCAACCCCTCCCCCCCCCCCCTGTGCTCCTTGCAACCCCTCCCCCCCCCTGTGCTCCTTGCAACCCCCCCCCCCCCTGTGCTCCTTGCAACCCCCACCCCCCCCTGTGCTCCTTGCAACCCCCACCCCCCCCTGTGCTCCTTGCAACCCCCCCCCCTGTGCTCCTTGCAACCCCTCCCCCCTGTGCTCCTTGCAACCCCTCCCCCCTGTGCTCCTTGCAACCTCCCCTCCCCCCTGTGCTCCTTGCAACCCCCCCCCCCTATGTTTCTGAACCTCTCTTGTATCTTGTTGCACCCCCCCCCCCCCTGTATCTTGTTGCACCGTGTTCTTGTTGCACCCCTATATTCTTGTTGCACCCTTGTACTTGTGTAATCATTCTCTTCATGTTGTAAGGAATTCTGGCTTGAGGACATCTTTCTCAGTCACCCCCTCATGTGATATAATTGTTGGTATATTTTTTTTTTTCCAATTGCTAATATCCTTCTTTCATATTTTGTTGTTGTGCATCATAGCAGCCATCTTGGATCCAGTGCTAATTCTGTGAAAGTTTAATTTTTAATTTTGTATTGTCTGGGCTGTGCGAGTGAATTGTCAGTTGAGTACTGTACTGGCTTTGTTCAAGAAATGTTACTTCACCTGACCCAACCTGTCTAGGGGCCTGACAGCTGAGTGGGTAGCGCTTCGGATTCGTAGTCCTGAGGTTCCGGGTTCGATCCCCGGTAGAGGCAGAAACAAATGGATAGTTTCTTTCACCCTGATACCCCTGTTCACCTAGCAGTAAATAGGTACCTGGGAGTTAGACAGCTGCTACGGGCTGCTTCTTGGGAGGTGTTTAACAAAGAGGACTGGGCTGCAAGGATGCTAAGGTTACCTTTTGGTGTTACCTTAACGTGTTTTCGGGGCTTAACATCCCCGCAGCCTGGTTCACCCATCTTGGCCCCGAAATCATCTCAAGATAACCTCAGTAGGCCATAGTATATCATTTTTTTTATAAAATATAATCCTAAAGTGATTTTATGCCATGAGTGCCATAGTGCCTCTGTGAAGGGGCCTTAGAGCCAAAAAAAACTAAAGGTGAATTGAATTTTAAATGAACATAATGAATGTGTGTATATAGCACTTATGTAGGTGATAGGTAGACTTCTTCTGAATTCAGTAAATATAATATGCCTGTTAATTAGGTTTAAGTTTAATATTTTTAATTAGGTTAAGTTTTATTCAATAGACAGAATTTATGAAAGATAGTTGTTCTCTACAAAAATTGGATTAATCCGGGAGGGAGCCGGTCGGCCGAGCGGACAGCACGCGGGACTTGTGATCCTGTGGTCCCGGGTTCGATCCCAGGCACCGGCGAGAAACAATGGGCAGAGTTTCTTTCACCCTATGCCCCTGTTACCTAGCAGTAAAATAGGTACCTGGATGTTAGTCAGCTGTCACAGGCTGGGGGTGGAGGCCTGGTCAAGGACCGGGCCGTGGGGACACTAAAAGCCCCGAAATCATCTCAAGATAACCTCAAGAAGATCCCTGGTGCTTAGGAAGCGTTTAAATCGTGTAACATTTGACCAGACATACGACCTTCAGAATTTTTTTTTTATCTTACAGTATTACTACCTTTTCCCTACATAATTAAAAAAAAGTTATGTTGTACATGTGATTGTGTACAAATATGCTGTAAAAACAGCTCTTAATTTGTACTAGGGCTTTCACTCCTGCAATTATGGTTCAAATTATAATCCTTTCCCACCCCCTGAAAGTCAAACTTAATGGTATATGGGAGAAATAGAATTAGGTAAGAAAACTCAAAGCATCCACTTTAATTGCCAGAGTTTGTTGAACTATACTCAAACCAACATGTCCTGTTATGTCGACTTGGGCTGGAAAGTAATGTAACCTTCAAGGTTTTCATTATGAATAGGTAGCAGGGAATCAATTATGTAATTATTATTAATATTGTCATAGCATAATATTAAGTATTTTGTTTAGTATAATCAACTTATAACTAATGTTATAAGTATAATCATTTGTTTCATGAAAACAGAGAAGGAAATGTAAGACTGAAAGAAAATTTCAAAAGCATTCTTATGAAGCAAGGATTTCACAGCACCAGACACAGTATGGTCTTTGGACCTTAATACTGTATAGAATGCCTAAATTTTGGCAGATATAAGGCAGTATGACCAGATGGAGTTTCACTTTAGGTTCTGAGAAAATGTACTCATGAATTTAGCAACCCATTGTAGGTTATTTTCCAAGTATCTTTACTGACAGAAAACATTAGAGAGATTTGGAAAATTATAAACTTAGTCCTAATTTATAAAACCAAGACAAAGAAGACCCATACAATTGTAAGAGAATTTCATTGATTAATATTTGTCAAACCAATAGAAAAAGTATTAAAAATACGGGTGGATTTCTAAAGAAAAAATCAACAAAACAACATAGGCAATTTGTTTTCGATCTACTGGTTATGGATAGGAAACTCATTAACTTTATACAGCCTTCCCGGCTTGGTGCCTTCTTTGATACTTACTTATAAATTTGTATTACTGCCACAAAAATCTTAAATTCAAAAGATGGTTATGCAGACAGCATCTGTTGGACTTTAAAATGGCATTACAAAAGTAATTTTTGGAAGTTGGATCATAACAGAAAGGTGATAGGAAAATACTAATATTGATGAAATATATACCATATTTGCCTACATAAAATAAGAGCAGAGACTTTGGCAATATATAGAGGAACCTTGGTAGTCGAACGGCTCCCAGTTCGAACAATTCGGCACTCAAGTGTAAAAACACACAACAGATGGGTCAGTTTCCCAGTAGCTGTCGTTCAGTGTAAAACCCCGGTAAACTTTCTCG